TCTACCATCTTCAATTGCCCAGGCCAAAACTCTGAAGTCCCATTTTCCCCTCACCATCAGTAAGACTTGTGAACTCCCTATTTAAAAAGTGCGAGTATTTAGGGCTAGGTACAGTGGCTCACACCTGTAATCCCAGCACTTTGGGAGGCAGAGGCAGGCGGATCAGTTAGGGCCAAGAGTTCGAGACCAGCCTGGCCAAATGGTGAAACCTCGTCTGTACTAAAAATATAGAAACTAGCCAGGCATGGTAGAGGATGCCTATAATCTCACTATTCAGGAGGCTGAGGCATGAGAATCACTTAAACCTGAGAGGCAGAGGTTGCAGTGAGCCAGGATCATGCCACTGCATTCCAGCTTGGGCAATAGAGCAAGACTCAGTCTCAAAAAAATAAAAGAGGGTATTCAGAATCCTTCCATGTCCTTCCATCTCTATTGCTATGACCATTAACTGTCTTGGGCTACTGCAGCATCTTCCTGAACATAATTCTGCTTCTTTCTTTAGCCCCTTGTAGTCCCCTCACACAGCATCGAAACAGGTTTTATTTATACATGTAAGTGACATAACGTCATACCCTTGCTTCACATCCCCCACCACACTAGCATCCCACTGCATTTCTTTACCATTTACAAACCAAAGGCTTAAAACAATGATCAATTATCCTATTTCATCTTCTCACCAGCATTTATTATTATCAGAGATTATCCTATCTGTATACGTATTTAACTATTTATGGACTGTATCTGACACTAAAATATAAGCTCCTTGTGAGCAAAAGCTGTGTCTTTCTCACTCACTTGCATCAATGCCTGGCAGATAGTAAGCACTCATTAAGTATTTTTTGAATAAATGAATAACAGAATAGCAGCACATTCCCCCACCCTGAAAGTGAGATGAATGTCACAATCCACCAAACCCAAGGCCCCGAATCAGCATTATTTTTTAGATGTAGCTGACCCATCTAGAGGATAACCAGTTTAAAGCTATCTTAAGTAATATCTCCTTACATCACATCCTTAGTCTACTGCTATCACCGCTTTCTGAATCAAAAGAAGTGAACATTAGTGACAGACTAGGTGTTTCCTGGCACCTAGAGACAAGCAGCAGATGTCTGAATGATAAGAAGATGTCTAGAGGAAGCACCTTCCCCAGGAAACTGTGGGGAGGCCCTGGGCCTTCAGCTGAACATCAGCCATTAAAGACTTCCACCAAGTATCACCATCAGACTGGCACTGCAAAGACACCAGGAAGGGAATATAGAATCAGACTGAAGTTAGGTGGGAACCACTTCAGTCAGGTTCTAGCCACTACATGGCTACAACTTTTGGCCCTCGGAATTGCAAGAGACACTGGAGAAGGCTAACATGAAATGCTAAATCCTTGTAACTTCTTCAATTCATGGTTGTGAATTTCTTTTCACTCTTCTGGCAGTTTAAAGACGTCTTTTGCCTTTTATGTTGGCAAGTAGGAGAACCAGAAGGGACTATATAACCAAGATCATTATCTACAGTTTTGGGGTAAGAGCTTGAGATATCAAGAGTGGCAAGCCAATCAGAGAGAGGTAACTGGGTCCTTCCTGTTACAAATGTCTTGTCCAAAGGATTACATGAACTAAAATGCAGATATGGCATATTGCGAAGAAGTTACAAAATCCATTACAGGCAAGAATTTAAATTTAATCATGCAATTACATTGACCGTAAACTGGAATAAAACTGAATGGTTTAACTATGTAAATATTTTATTGAAATGTGATGTAAGCTGCTGTCCATCACTGAGGAACAATGACACCCTTGGACAGGAAATTAGAAAGAAGAGTTAATGCTACTAAGATAGACATGATATCCTCTCAACCCTTCTCGTACTGATTTCTTCTCATCTGAACTTTCAATAATTCACATTTAATGAGACACTGCCACTAGGCTAGTCACAAAAGAAAACAAATCCCTGTAATAAATCCCTCAAAGAATTTACAGTCTAGCAGGGTAGAAAAGGTGAATACACAGTGTCCTTAAAATAAGACAATCTTAACTAAAGCTTGCAAGGTGGATACACCACCTTTGGATGAAGGTTCTAGAACTCTTTTCCTGAAGAAGACAACATAGTGGGCTTGAAGGATGGATGGACTCTTGTCAGCAAACAGAGATACTGTAGATGGGCTAGCTGAGTAAAGGGGTGCAGAGAGAAGCATGTGTATTACAGCTGGGGCACAGGATGTGGTGTGCCAGGGCTGGGGAGGATAACTATCTCTTCAACTATAACTCAAGAGCAGCACTTTTCTTCTCTCTCCATATTACCTAAGACCCAACTTGGTCCATGTGGTAGGCCCCAAATCATACTTATTGAATAAACAAGGATATCAATCCAGAGATTAAAAAATTAAATCGATTCATTTTCACGTTGCTGCTGTTCCAGATGTTCCTGGGTTTTCCTTTAAAAATTGGGTCACGGTAGAACACTGCACCTCCTTGGTTACAGACAGATACAGGTGTTATCTCACTCACGATATGAAAACATTTAAAGAAAGCTCACGTGGTTAAGAGGGGATAGGGGTGACAAGTATACATGTGGACATCTAGAAATTCTGAAAGTTTAAAAAAGTTGTTGGGTCCAATACCTAGTGGATGTTGAAAAAGAAAAAGACTGGTCTATAATTCAATTCTATTACTACTATATCCCCAAAATGAAGAGCACTAATACTCATAAAAATTCCAAGAAGCTATCGGTACCTAGAAAGTCACTTGTTTTATATTTTCGTTTTCAGAAATATATCCAGTGGATGTGTTCTCTGCCCTGCCAGTAACTGGCTGTACAGCTGCAGATAAGAAGCTTAACTTCCTGAGCATCCCAACAGGGAAGACGGTGAAGAGAAGCAGACAACTGGAGGGGGGCCAGGCCCGCAGAGGGGGCCACACTCCCGATCCGCTCAGATGAACTTGTGGCACAGGCAAGCCCCACACCTCCTCGGAGCCTCACTCTGCACGCGTTATCTGCTAGCAGGGGATGCTGCGAAAACATAGATCTTCTTCATAATTTTTCCAGCCATTGGTTTCACGATATCTAAGGTACCTTTAGGTTCTAAGATGTCCTCTGGATCTATCTTATGATCTCATCTTTAGATTTCAGGACAAAGCCTTGAGAGAAGCAACGTCTTAAGTGATTCTAGCAACACGCAGGCTCCAAAGGCCATTTCTAAAGCATTAGTCATTAACAGCATAAATAGCAAACAGTTAAAGATTAGAATACAGAAATTAAACATTTAAAAAGCCAGTGGTTGCCAAATCATAGAACATATATTTATATATATTTTTATTAGTCATTGTAAATCCATTACAAATCATATATAAACACATATATATCCACATATGCTTCTACACACACACACACACACACACACACACACACACACACACACAGTCTAAGGATTACTATAAAGACAAAAAGGAAAGTTATTATGTGCCTTAATGAATAATTATTTTTTTACATATATTTAAGGGGTATAAATATGGATTTCTTATATGCATATAGTGCATAGAGGTGAAGTCTGGGCATTTAGTGTACCCATCACCCAAAGAGCAATCATTGTGCCCAATGGGTAATTTTTCAACTCTCACCACACCTCCCAGTTTCCCATCGTTTGTAGTCTCCAACTCTAGCACCCATAGCGACAAGCTTCAAATTCACAAGTTAGTGTGAATTTTAACCTTGTATTTTTATCAAAGACATATGTCTCGTGAACACATTTACCTTTTAACTCCCACGTATCAATGTTTAAAGTTTTATATCATCTAAAACATGGCCATTCTTCAAAGAGCAATAATGTTCTTCCTTAATGCAGATATCTGCTTATCTTTAGTGTTTAGATGTTTGATTTTTATAATTACGTATTTTTTTTAAAATACCCACTCATGCAAACTCATACATTCAGACTAAAATACATATGCTCACAGAAAGTGAAACCTACTCTAGGTAACTATCCAAGAATACATTTACATAATATGGGCAGGAGAGAAGGAGAGATAGGTCATTTTGTTTATGAACAATTATGTTTTGAGACCATAGAGAACATTCAGGCCTAACCACTATAGACAAAAATCTAACCATAAAAAAGATCCATGTCAAGGGTTTATGATACATTTTGTTTTGACTTATTTTCCCTCTATTCTAGTCCACCTCTACCAATGATAGCAGCTAGATGACATGTAAACTTCCTTTCAGCTCTCAATACTTTTATCAGCAAATTAAAGATTTATAATAATTAATACACTCTCTTGTCATCATGACCTAAAAGCTTTCAAACTAGTCTTTAAATAAGATCGGTTTTTGCACAAATGAGGCAAAAAGAAAAGAGTTGGGGATCTCAATGCACTAAATGTGAATGATTAGTCTGTAATGTAATGCCGATGTTAATTTCTCAGAAGAAAGGTAAAGTAAGTAGCTGACTAGAATTTATGAAGAGAAATGTAGAATGAGGAACCAGAGCTAAATGTGAATCAGAAGTGAATTCTGTATGCTCGATGAGCCACTCATTGACCTTGCCTTATAACTACCAATCAAGGCTTCCTGTTCGCCCTGGGCAATTTTCAAGCAGACTTAATGAAATAGTTACACATGTAAGAAATGTAAGCCCAAATCTGAGACGGTAACACTAATTTTCTGATAGTAAGGGTGTGATGTTATCCCCTGCACCACCTGGATACAATATAGAAACTTATAACAAACATTCTCTCAAAGTGCATTATTACCATTCCACCAGGGTACAGAATGACGTTGCTGCAGAGTAGAGCATTCTTAGAAATATCCCCCAAAATTTTTATCCCCAAGTTATTGAATGTTAAAATTTTTTAACAAAAAAGAAGAAATCAATGTCTTCAAGTCTTAATTCTTTAATAATAAGCCACTTCACAGCTCCAGAAGTTTTGAAGAGAACACATCTCCTCTGGTAGCCCCTCACCCCCAGCCTGCCGGCATCTATGCAAGTGAAACCTATGAATCTGTCTTACCTGTAATCTGACTCTGTCCTTGTGGATTAAAAGGACTTGGTGCAGAGTTCAGGGAGGGCCGTGGGTTCTGAGGCGGGACACCTACTCTCATACTGGGATGAGGAATGCGCCCTAAATCACTGAGGCGGTCAGAGAACAAACTAGGTTTAGAGTCATCAAGCTTCTGTCTGTGCCCTGGAAATAGCAAATCATAAAATAAAAGCATATTAATTAGCTGAACAATTGACCATGCTAAATAGATATGTGAACATACAAACTGGGAGTTTAAGCCAAGGAATCATCAATACTAATATATAATGACGTGTCTACACAATGCCTTCCATTTCAAATTGCTTTATAAGCAGTAACTGGTGGCCAGCATTCCTAGCTCTGTTTCATAAATGGAGAGCTGAGGTCTCAGAGGACAACTTGGAGTGAAGCATCAGTAGAAAGGCCAGATACTAGGCGCCTTCTCTGGCCCTCTCAGTGAAAAAACAGGAGAGGTGTGTACTGGGGGTATTTGCTTGTTTCAAGATGGAGGAAAACCCCTCTGAAAGTTCAAACAGTCCAAGTAGGTTAGCCAGAATGTCACAAAGCTGGAGCAGAGACGCAGACAAACACATTTGTCAGAGGGAAATTTCCACAATGACCATAGTGACTTTTCTTTAATGTTACATCTACTCTTTTCTGGAAATAAAAACTCTAACCTAAACCCCTTTAAGAAATAGAAAAACAGAAATGTAAGCAGGGAAACTCAAATTCTCAAGAGGAATCTGGATATTTTGTGATATGCCAAAGCTGGAAAGCATATAATAAACTCTGTTAAATCAGAGAGAATGCTTTCTTATTTTAAATCCACTACTGTGGTTTTGGAAAAGAAGCTGAAATATACTCTTTGAGTAAACATGTGACTGTGACAATCCATTATTTGGAGGAAAAAAAAACCTTTCTATCACTCTTCTAGCTTATTCAAGCCTAAAACCTAAGGAAATTCTGAGTATTGGAGAAATACGCAAAATTAAAATAAACCCAAGGCACTAAGACTTTTAAAAAATCATCAAATCATTCTTAAGAAAAGACATACTAGTGTCTTGCTGCAAGTATAACAGAAAAGCATCTGAATTTGGGTGTGCCATAGTAGTGGAAATCTATAGCGGGGTGCTATTGGGGACAAATTCAGTGCCCATTAGAGAAATGGAAATGGACTGTGCATTCCTTCCTCCAGATTCTGTGCCAGTGAGGCCCTAGGATGCTGCCCCAACATTTTAGTATAAATATTAAGTGACTGAAGCTGATTCGAGGAAGAGCCATTAAGATGATGATGGGATTAAGAGTTTGCCCTTTGAAGGGAAACCAAGGGAATTAGAATATTATTCATAAAAGAAAAAAACCTTGAGAAACGTTTATGAAAAGCCTTCAAGCATGGGAGTTTTTCACTGCTCTATGGGTAGCGCAAACACCTTAGCTTCCACTTAATACAGAACAAGAGGAATGCATCAGGATAGGGTTAAACTGAACATTAGAATTTCCCAACCATAAGCTGTCTTCATAAGACAAATTCCTTATTTTATTTGCCCCAAAATGTATTTTCCTGTCTCCTTTTTCATTGCCTACCCAGCCCAAAGAAAACAGATAGGAAGCCAGGGCTTGGTAATATGAGTGTAGCTGTCTCCACGGCCAAACGTGTTTCAACTAGGCCCATTAACTGAAACGCACCCACCACCCTATTTCCTGCCAGTGCAAGTTTTTGGGCATCTGCTGTAACAGAGTGACTAGACCTAGGAGAAAAATAATGGAAAAATGAGAGAAATTCCTTGTTAATGGTTGTTTTCCCCACCATTAATATGTTGTATCCAGACTGCAAAGAGATTTTAGATCCCTAGAGGACTTTTAGAGGTGGCCCAAAACAAGTCCTAGAGCCTGGCAAGCAATGTGTTCACCTAGGAAGTGACTGAGGCATATAGAGGTAGAACAACTAGCTTATGGTCCTCAGCTGCTGACTAGCTCAGCTTCAACAAGGATATAGCCCTCGTCTGAGCTGACTGAATTGCCATTCATCATGAGGCACGTCAGCGCTGGTATTCTAGCTTTCTCTTCCCTTCCTCTTCCAGCTGCTATAGAGGGTTGAAAATATCCAGATAATATAGAGCGAGACACCTAAGAACTAAGCCCAGCGAGGTGCCAAGGCTGGCTTTCAACATAAGCAGAAGTAGCAACAAGGATTCAATTACAAAGTTAAGAATTCACCGCTTATCCTAAACATTAAATGGCTGTAACCTAACTCACCAAACTTCCATCAATACATCTTGCCGGGTCTAACTAGTTTCACAATAGGGAATTATATAGTACTTGTCACAGATCCATGGAGTCTGTTCCTCACACTCACACACACACGCGTGCACACACATACTATTGGTGTGGTGTTGATACAGCTGTAAACATTAACAAGAAAGCTTACGGAATTGTCCTGGAAGTTATTTTTCTTAATAGGCCATATTTTTGGAATGGCAGGATCCCTGAGGGCTACATGATGTTGCATGGTTCCTTTATACACTGGGACTTTACGTGGGCCACGGGTCACAAGAAAATTTAATAAGCTTTGCCTCTGCTTTCTATAGCCTTTTCATTAGGTTTTCCTAGAGGCTGTGTGAGATGTGAGCTCAGACTGTACATGTGTGAGTACATTTTTACTCTCTCTTAGCCCAGTGTTTTCAGGGGTAATAAGAGGTTGCAGACAAGAATAAAGGACTTACGCTAGCACTGGTCAGCGTGAAAAATTTTAAAGCCGGTGAAATTTTAAAAGCCTCAATGACCTTTTGGAAATTATCTTCAAAGAGAGCTTCCAAGTATCTACAGGCACCCTAGAATAATTCAGGAAACATTCATCTGCAGACACATGTATACAAAAACATGTGCATTTTTCTTTGTAGATATCTGCCCCTTCACAGCCACCACTGCAACCACAACAAAATCTCCTCTTCATAATGTATGAAGTACATTGAAGAGCAAAAGTCAAACAGGTTCTTCGCATTCCAACTATGACAAATACCTGTTACCACTAAACCACATCAGGGCAACACTCGAATGACGGGCTGAAAGAAGGAGTACTTAAATCCTCAGCACCCAAGCCATTCCTTCAGAAATCAAGAACATGGACGACCAAGGACACACTGACTAAGGCAAGGACAGGGTACTCTGTCATAGTGCCATGAGGACCAAACCTCATCCGAAGGACCAAAGAGTAGATCATTCAAGCAGGAGGAAGGGATGAAGAACAGAAAACTCCTGTATTATGCTTGAGACTCTAGGTAAAATCTCAGTCCTGGATCCCTTCTCTAGCTGTACTTTCTCCCCGAGTCCTTCCTTCCTTGCCGAATGAGACAATTCCCTGAAATAGATAGATGTCCAGGCCTCACATCGGATCAATTAAATCAGGATTTCTGAAAGTGGGACCTGGGGAAAAGGTCTTCTTCTTTTTTTAAGGGCTCACCCCATGATCCAATGTGCAGCCAGGATAGAGAACCATGGCCCAAGGTGATCTCAATTTCATGCACCAAATACCACCTATTTATACCAATGATTCCCCCTTCGCTGGGTCGAGCCCTAACCTCTGTCTTGCGTTCCAGGTTTGTGCGCTCCACTGCCTACTTGACATCTTCCCTGGGATGTTCCGAAGGCATCTTAAATGCAGAATATTCAAGACAGAATTTTTTTTATTCTCCCCTCCAAAAACATCCTGTTCCTCTCTAGTAGTTCTGCATCTCAGTAAATGGCATGAGCCACTTAGTTTCCTAGGCCAAAAGCCTAGACATGTTCCTTGATTTCTCCTTATGTCTCACTTTCCATATGCAATCCATTACCAAGTCCTGTCATTTCTATCTCAATACTAATATGTCAAATCCATTCGGTTCTCTCCCTTTCTACTGGTACAACCTTGGCCGAAGACCCTAACACCTCTCTCTGGGCAGCTGACAAACTGTCTCCTATTCATTCAGTTTCCCATCTCGAGACCTTTCCATATTCCTTAAGTGCTCTTCCCCGATTCCTTGTAAGGCCCATTCCTTCTTATCCCTTATACCTCACAATGAACACCAGCTCCTATGAGAGGCCTTGATTGCCTCCCATAACCAAAGTAGGTTCCCACCCTCTTGAGCACACCCTCTCTTTATTTTCTTTACGGCAGTCAGCACAATCTGTAATTATCTTGTGTATTTATTTTTGTCTCTCTGTAAGACTGTAAGTCTCATGAGAATGAGTGCTCTGTCTTGATTACAGCTGTAATCTCACAACCTAGTTCAGTGCCTGCTACATAGTTGGTGCTCAGTAAATATCTATGCAGTGAGTGAATGAATATTCTCCTCTTTTACATAAATTCCTTGATTGAAAGAAAATTTTCTGGCCCAGGATAGCATATTGTACCACCATTTTTCACCAAACAAGTTCTTGTTTGACAATCTAGTGAACCTAGTGGACAAAACCCTTCTCTAAAGACAAGCCCTTATTGGTGCTTCCTACACAATTGTACTGAAGGACATTCATTTAAGTGAAAACTTGCTTTCTTTCTGGAAAACTCCTATTTGCTTTCACTGTAATTCTTAAGCATTGTTGAAAGTCACTGAAAATTAGAGAGTTGAAAAAGGGCAACAGAAATCATTTAGACTCTAAAGTGAAGAGCAATGTACTTCTTTTATGGATGAGGACCCTGAGAAAGGAAGTGCCTTACCCAAAGCCATATACTTAATGGCAGGACCAGAACTCAGTTTTCCTGATTGCTGGTCTAGGTTGTTTTCTTTTCCTTGCCAACCAGCTTATTTCAGATCATAAGAGTTCAACAGCAGTCATTCAGGGGAAATTCAGGATCAAAAATCAATTTAAAATTAAAAACAAAAAAAAGTAGTTTTCAGAAAACATTTCTTTCAAAGTTGAGTATGTTTAGCTGAATATGACTTTTGTTGCAATAAATTCAGGGGCACAAGAAGAAATCATAGTCAAAAGGTCACAGCATTCACACATCCTTAGAGCAAAGACAAATGAGAAACAGTTAATTCCCTAAGCCATAGTCTAGCTAATCACCCTATTGTGGCCTACCCACAGTGGGTTAGTAACACTACCATTATAACTTCTGCTTTCAAAAATCACACATCTGAAACTGGCACACAAAGACTCTGAAATGTGGTCTGTGAACTAGAAAAGTA